CTCGGATAGGAGGCACTGCCCCGGAGGGCCCCCTCAAGCCCGCCATCCCAGAACCCGAAGTCGTCCCGGACAACCAAGTCCGAGAAGGACTGCGCTCTTTTCGGAATCCCAGGGAGCAGAGTCAGCCTCGAGCAGGCCGGGATAGGTGACTGGGAGGTGGGAATGATCCCCCACTGAGTGGTGCCTCCTTCCCTCCCCTCCCTGCCCCCCCCAGCAGAGCCACTTGGGGCACCCTGCCGAGGACCGAACAACACAAGCACCAAGGGACCCCAGGACCCTGTGCAGGAGGGCGGATCTGCCCTAGTTACTGTGATGTAATCAAATACTCAGAGAGAAGCCGACCAACCTAAAAGCAAACACTTTCTCCTAAGGGGTAACTTCCAGTGAAATAACTTATTAAAAGCAAAACAAAACAAAACAAAAAGACATAAACTTCTCTCCCTCTACTACTTAGGAACGTGTGAGCAGAGCGAGTTACTGTCTCGACCTCTCAAGGAACGAATCATTACGAAATTGCTCTGGATATCTGTAATTACTTTTATACAATGGGTAGTAATATTGTAATTGTTGTCCGAGCCTTTCTGGGAGTAGCAATGACCCCAGAAAAAGTTGATGATATCTCCACTGGTCTTACACGAGGAAAGGAGTGAAAAATCGAAGTACCTTTTCAGAGAGCTCAGACCAAACGCGCCTCCTAGCCTTGAAATACTCATATTTGTAATGCTGAACCCAAGCGGGATTTTCTGAAGTAACCACATTATGCTAATTGCCTGTGTAGATAAGAGTTTAAATCGAATAGGTTCACATGTCCATAGTCCTAGGTTTTCTGCTGTCTCGGCTTGTTTGGGCAGTTGAAGTTCTCCTCAAACACCACTTCAGAGGTTCCAACCCCTTCCCCCAAATCTAGTGCTAGGCCTGGGAGAAGTCCTCCCCTCCCCACCTCCTTAGGGACAAAGTCTCTGATCCCTTTCTGCCACCGCAGCAGCCCATTCCTAGTGGAACATCTGCGCGTTTTCCCCTTGATCTCACGCGAAAGTCGGTTTCCGCGGAGGATGGGCCTCAGGTAGGCGCCGGGTGCGGCCCCGGGGAAAAACAGTTGCGGAGCATCTGAAGCGGAAAATCCAAGCAGATGTGGGGCGGCCGGGCCCCGCCCCTTTCCTCTTAGGGCCTCAATTTCTTCCAGATCAGTTTCCTAATGGAAAATTTCTAAGAGGTAGGGGTATGAGGAGGCGTGCTCGTGCGCCTCGGGGTGCGCCTAGGCGCTGGGAATCAGGACAGACTGGGGCTGGTGCCGTCCCGCAAGCACGGCAAAAGCTTATTGGACTCAAGGTGTCCGACCCCTCTTTCCACCTGCCCTCTTCCTGCCCCCAGCCTCTCGTCATTCTAGATTCTGCCAACTCCTTCCGGGCCAGTAGGAGATCCGCCGTTTGTGGGTGATGCCCGGGACTGAGGGGTCTTTCGTTGCCCTATGCTTCTCCCCTGCGGGCCCATCTCCGTGCTCTGCGCGACGCACTCGACTTTCGACTCGAAGTATAGACTAGGAGGTAGCCCCTGCACCAGCAGGCTGGAGCAAGGAATACGCAGTAGGTTGTCCCAACCGGCGGCCACCAGCTTCTGATCACTCCAATTAGCACGCGTTTAGTGCTTTTTCCAATTTACACAGAGCTTCTATCCTGTGGAGACCTAAGGGCCTCAGGCTTTCCCTTCGGCAGGGAGAGCCCTGGGGCGACCCCATCCAAGCTCAGGGGTTCTTCCTTCGCCATTCCAGGCAGACATCACTATTCTTCCCACCTGGGGAAACCTCGAAGTTCGCGCCGAAGTACTCTGTGTTCTTTCGGGGGCGCTGTGCGGGAGCCCAGGCCCATCTCCGCGCGCTGTGTGTGTGTGTGTGTTGAATGAATGTGCTGGGGGGGAAGGTGATAAAAGGCCCACTTGGGCGTTTGCTGGGGCACACTGTGGGCCCTAAAGTACCCCACAGCCAAACATCTGCGAATCTTCAAACGCTCCGTTATGCTACCTCTCACACCACGCGATTCGAACGTGTCTCGCAGATGCAACAGCGGCTGCCACTGCTGAAGACCGGGTATCGAGATCTCAAGTACAATTTCCCGTGAAATCCGGGAACTTTGGTTTAAGGAACGTTTCTGTGCCTGTTACTTGTCGAGTTTCTCCCACTTGCACTTAACCATGTTTCTGCGATCTGGGTAATCCCTATCAAGCCCAGGAGGAATTCTCCCGGGTCCATAATTGAGGATCGGAAATCGTGGGGGTGAGGGAAGCCTTAGATCCTCCCGAAGCCAGGAAGGTGCCGGAGCGCACACGGGGGCGGCCTGAGCAAGCGGCGGCGGGGCCCAGCCGGCAAATCCCATCCCCCCTGGAGCTTCTTCCTCCGGAAGCCGGGAGACCGAGACCACGGCTGTCCCCGCAGCGGGGTGCGGGGCTCCGGGCGGGGAAGCGGGCCGGGAGCCTTGCGTTTGGCCACTGCGTACCCGAGCCGCTCGCGCGCCCCACCCCCGACCCTCTGCGCTCACGGCTGGAAAAAGGAAAGCGCTCCTGGATCCGAAACCCCAAGGAAATGTGCTGGTTCCTACATGCGCCCGGCATTTGGTGGGGAGGCACCAACTCCGAAGCTCGCGCGGCTCGGTGGTTTCGAGCAAGGCCACGGCTGTGGGTTCCGCAGGGCGCCGGGGCAGGTGAGGCCGAACACGGGTCTGCGCACGCTGTCCTGCCCACTGAGGGAACTACGACGCCTTCAACGCCATCGAACTTCTGACCTTCAAAGGGGTCCCTGGAAAGGGGTCAGGAGCGCCTGCTGCCGACGAGGTCGCCGTAGGCCCTGCCCTCCAGACGCGGGGGAGGGAGGCGAGCACCAAGTCATTGTAATGGCAGTGAGCGCGCGGAGCCGCAGGCTCCTCCCGGGCCGGGGGAAAGAGAAGGCACCTAGAACGGAGATCCTAGCACTGGGCCCCAAGGCTCCGGCTTCTCCCCTCCCGAGCTGACCTCCAGATCAGGCCCCCACAGCCTACAGCCTCGGCACACGTCCGAGGGACCCCAGGAACCCGCGCCCTGCGTCCACCGCGGCTGCCCTCTGACCCCGCGCGCCAGGAAGCTGGGGTCCTCCCAGTGCATGCGTCCACACCGCGTCCGGAGGGTTGGGGCTTCTAGAAGGGAAGGGATGGGGGGCTACCTCGTGGCCGGGGTAGCTAGGAGGATCCTCCGGGGTTGCAGTCACCGACGGTGAGGTGGGGTATACAAGAGGACTCGAGGTCCAGTGTGGCCCTGAGGGAAGGCGCCGGGACGCCCTACGGCCGGCCGCAGTCTCCGACTGCGCCTCCCTACGCCAACTGCCTCCTGCCCCCATCACCCTGGCCACCACGAACGCTTGTCCGATGACCCTCGCTCGGTGCTCCTCGCCCTGAAGCCCCCGCCCCAGCCGGCTTCCCTGAAATTCCTGCCGCACTGGATCGGGCTTCAGGGGCGGGTACTATTGGGCCCTGTTCCCGCCGCTGCCCAGGGCAAGGCCTCACCGGTAGGTTCGGCTCCCCCGCCCCTCTCTCCGTCCTATCCGCGCGTCCCCGCGGCCTCCAACCCCTCTGGGGAAGGCGCCAATCTCCTTTCGCTCTCCCGTTTACAGGAGAGAAAGGGCATAAGGGTCACTTCCGAGCCCTACTCGCGCCGCTTCCTGGGGAGGGCGGGTGGTCCTTCCCCTCTGGCCTCCCCACCACCACCACTTTCAGCTCTCGGACCTGCAAACTGGGGAGAGCGAGGGCTCGGGGCCCGCGCGGGCTCGGAGGACTCAGTCCTACTCCGCAGGGCACTCAGGCAGCGCCCGCGCAGTACCTGCGCCGGAGCCACAGACGAGGTCTCCGCACCGCTTCCTCCCTCGCTTCCTCCTCCGCCCCACCCCGCCGCTCCTCCTAGCGCCCAGGTCCCGCGACCCGCCCGCCAGAGCCGGTCCCCGCCGCGCGACCTGTACACTCACCGCGATTTCCTCCAGGCCGGGAGCGCGCGGGTCTCGCCCGGGAGAGTCCCTGGAGGCAGCGACAGGGAGGCGCGCCTGTGACTCCGGGGCCGCGGTGGGGTCGTATATATATATATATATATATACTCTTTTTTTAGATTTTTTTCTCATATAGGTCATTACAGAGTATTGAGAAGAGTTCCCTGTGCTATACAGTGGGTCCCTATTAGTTATCTACTTTATATATAGTAGTGTATATATGTCAATTCCAATCTCCCAATTTATCCCTCCCCACTCACACACTTCCCCACGCCCACCCCCCCCCCCCCCCCCCCCCCCCCCCCCCCCCCCCCCCCCCCCCCCCCCCCCCCCCGGGCCCGGGGCGCCCGAGTGCTCCGCCCGAAGGCGGGTCCGCCATAAACAAACGCGGCTCGGTTGCACGTGGACCGCTGAGCTTCTGCGCCTCGCGACAGATCGCGGGCTCCGGGCGCCGCATCACCAGGCACAGGCAACCGCCAGGGAGGGCAGGAGAGCGCACCCGGGCCGGGCCCCAGCCGCGTCCGCTCCCCTCCCGCTCCATGGCTCCGCAGCTGCAGCCGCCCGTGCCGTCCTCCAGCCCGGAGGGGCCTCGCGGCAGCGGGTACAAACACCCGGCCAAGGACTAAACAGCACCGCCGCCTCCTCGCCGGCCACTCTCCACCCCTAAGGAAAGCCGAGGCAGGGGAGACAAGAGGGAGGAAGGAAGAGCGAGCCGAAGCGAGCGGGAAGCCAGGGCTCGGATCGCCGCGGGACAGTCCGGCCCGGAGGAGGCTGCGCCCGGAGCGCGGGGCGGCGCCCCCGGGTTGCGCCGAGCTCCCGGCCCACGGCTGCAGAAAGGCGTCTTGGTGCCCCTGGTCGGCCCCACGCACCTGCCCGCGGCCGGCGCCCCACGCTCACCTGGTCTGCGGGGCCCCCTTCCCCATCGCCGCCGCTGCAGCCAGAGCGGAGCTCCGCGGGCCTGGAGCACGGCCGGGTCTAATATGCCCGGAGCCGAGGCGCGATGAAGGAGAAGTCGAAGAATGCGGCCAAGACCAGGAGGGAGAAGGAAAATGGCGAGTTTTACGAGCTGGCCAAGCTGCTGCCGCTGCCATCGGCCATCACCTCGCAGCTGGACAAGGCGTCCATCATCCGACTCACCACGAGCTACCTGAAGATGCGCGCTGTCTTTCCCGAAGGTGAGGCCGCAGGTGGGCGGCCGGGAGCGCTAGGGGCCCAAGCGGGGAGCCAGAGCTGGCCCGGAGGGGCTGCCTGAGCCTTCTGGCTGGTGCCAAAACGTCTTGGGGAGGTCGCTCCGGGAACTTCGGCTCCTCCTGGAGAGAGGGGCCAGGGCCCTGGTGCCAGAGACACCAGGCCATCTTCTGGCCCAGGGCTGGGGGGTAGGGAGCGCGAACCAGGGATCGTTCCATGAGCGTACTAGTCCAATCTGGTCTTTCTTCTTTCCTTCCTTCCTTTCTTCTTTTCTTTAACTCCCCCTTTTATTTTTTTCCTTCCCACTTTCTTTCCGTGGAGGGGAAGCACAGTGCCCCCGGGCCAGAGGCGAAGGGTGCTTGCTGGTCCCTGGGAGAGAGTGGAGTACACCAGGAGGCCCAGGCCCTGCAGGCCCCAGCTCCCAGCAGAGCACTTGCAGGGACTTGGGCCTCAGACTCAGGCCTCTCAGGTGGTCTCTTCTCTGCTCGCCGTTCTTGGGGCTGGGGCTCTGGAGGTGCGGGTGGGAGAGACTCACCTCAAACAGGTGAGCCGAGATGGGGCAGGAGAGAAAGGGAGGCGGTTAATTCGGAAATGGCAGGCGGGCCTGAGCATTGTCTTCTTTTCTAGATTGGATTATAAGCCCGGAGGGGCAGGTGCTATGGTGGGCAAGGGTCGCCAGGGCACACGGGCCCAGCAGGCTCTCAGTGGTCAGAAGTGGTGGCGCACTGGGTGGGCATTCCCTGCCAGCACACGGCCCGTGGGTGACAGTAGCTGCCAGGCGGGCACCTCTGAGCAGCAGGGCTGGAGGAGGCCTGATCACCACAGCATCCCTTTTGGTGTCCCGGTGGTTCTGAACCGACCACCTTCCAATGTCTCTGTCCCCAGCCATGTTGGCCGCAGCCTGGCGGAAGGGATTAGGGTGCTTGTCTGAGACGCTCTGCTCCAGCACCCGATGGGTATCCCCCAACCTGAAGGCCGAGGAGCCACTGCAGCTGTGGCAGCCTCTGGAGCATCAGAAGCCGGTGCACGACTAGGGAGACAACTTTAGCCACAGGGCACGGGGAGGGTCGCTCCAGAGCCGCGACAGGTGTCTGTCCAGCGCAGGGCGCCTCCATTAAGGCAGCTCCAGGCCAGGCAATCGACCTAAAGTCAGTAAACTCGACCTCTTTACGGTGGGCGCCCCTAAGCCTGTTATTTGTAATCGTCTCTGGGTCATAAACTGCCCTTTACACCACCTCCCGGCTGGAGCTCCTAGGGCCTGGCCCCCAGCATGACCTCCAGCTCGGCAGCGTGCTGGCTGGGGAGCTGAGCGCCACTGGACAGGGAGCTGAGGGGGCCAGAAGCGGTGGCCTGTCCTCGCCAGAGCCTTCCAGCTGCGCTGTGCGGCCAGGCGGCCACTTTCCTCCCTGGAGCAGGAACCTGTGACCTGGCTGCCACAGCCCAGAGCTCTTGGAAGGGAAAGTTATTTTCCTTTCCAAGCCCGATCAACCGAGGGGGCCCCCCTCCCCGCTCCTGCCCATCCCGCTGGGAGCCGCGGCCCAGTGGACGCTATTTGTCGGCCCTCCAGCGACGTAGAGATGATTCCTCCCCTGCTGAAGTTTTCAGTGAAAATTAAGGAGAACTGGGTTTTATAAGAGCCGAGTCTCCTTCCAACCCTGGGAGGAGGGATGGTAACTGGTTTGCTCGGGCGAACCGTTTCTTAATCCACATGCTGCAAAGCAGGTGTGGAGCCCAGACAGGCCATAAGTCTTCTCTCCTGTCCCCTTCCCACCCCACTGGAAATACAAATTACAAAGACATGATCAGAAGATTAACTGATCTCAAGTAAGCCAGAAATTGAGGCCTGGAGAAAGGGGCTAATTGCTAGCCACTTGTTGTTTTGGGCTTTCCAGGAAAGCGGCTAAAAACTGGAAAGTGGTGTGTATATGCTCCTGCAAACATTAAACTGGGTCTGTAGGTTCCAGCGCTGCGAAACGAGGCTGCAGGCCTTGGGATCCCGAATTGCTTGGCCCTGAGCAGGTTGCAGGGGTGCGCTGGCTGTGGTCTGGCCCCTGAGCACCAGGCCCCTGTGCTTTGTTCCTAGTGGTCTAGTTGAGGGGCGGCCTGGGGGTGACCATCGAGACTGGAACTCCAGGAGGGGTCGGGGAGAGCTATGTGGCCCCTAGAGTTTTGGAAATAGTCCTGAACCTAAGGGGTCCCGATTCCTCCAAAATGGGGAGCAGGCGGTGATCTAGACCGCAGCGCCTCCTGCAGCGCTGAAGCTGGGAGCAGGGGCGCTCGCCTGCACGGTGGGCCAGCAGCCTCCGGACGCCTCCCTGCGCTCGGAGGCCTGGGGCCTGCAGACCTTCCCCCTCCAGTCAGTCTGCGACTGGAGAGAAGAGGAGCTGGGTGCCTGGGGCAGAGGAAAAGAAGCGTTTAGAAAGACCTCAATTAGCAAAATGACTCGTTCGCCCCTCCCGTGGCTCTGACGGACGAAGGGTGGGAGGGCGGAAGCAGCATCCGAAACTGATTTAACCTGTTCTCGGGAGACTGCGCCAGGGAGGCGGTGCGGGAGGCGGACGGGGCCCGGCGGAGCCGCGAGGGTCCGGACGCGGGCGTCAGGGAGGCTTTAGCGGCCAACCCGGTCCTGCGCCGCGGCGGGAACTCCTGGACCTGCTCCGGCTCTCGGCAGCGAACGGAAAGATACCGAGCGGACCCGATGTGCCCAGCGCGGCCTCGCTCTGTGATAGCCAAGCCGGATCCCTGGGTGAAGCAGAATCTAGAAGCCAAGTTAGGACTTTGGGAGTTAGAAAACGAAGAGCACAGTCCGAAGGAACCACAGGAATCGCCAGACTAACCCTCAGTATTTGAGGAAATTGAGGCCTGAGAGGGGCGGGCCTTTCCCAAGGTCCCCCGCGAGGGCAGGGCAGGCGGGAAGGCTGCTGTGTCGCCTGTGCTTCTGTGCGCAGGAGAGGCCGCTGGCCTCGGCTCCTTTCATCCCGAGACCCCCAGGCAGGAGGAGAGAAAGAGGAGCTCGGAGAAGCCCCAGGGCAGGGGCAGAGAGGCGACTGGAGCCAGGTGGACACTCCACGGAGAGGCCAGTCCGCAAGCTTGGGGGTGCTGGCAAGCTAGACAGCTGGTTCAAGGCTCGGGTCTGTCAAGCTGCCCCGCTGGGCCTCTGTCTCCTTTTCTGTAAAATGGGCCCATTAGCAACTCCATCGCAGCGCAGGGTTCCCGGGATCGGGTATGAGGAAGCAGGCGGGCGCAGGTGGAAATCTACCGTGTTCTTACTCCAGTCAGTCCTTTCTGTGAACTCACTGCCTTCCTTGGGCCAGATGCAACCTTAACGGTGGCGCACCCCACTCAGTGGACCTCCGGGACTCACTGCCTGGAGTTGGAAGATGAGCTGTTTTCTGGGTTCCCACCGTTTTCTCCCCTTTAACTTCGAACTGAGAAGTGGAACGTAGAAGGGCAGGGAAGAGGGCAGGAGAGCAAGGCTGGCTCTGGCAGTGGACTTGGAATTGAAAGCTTAGTGAGTTAATGTGGTTGGGAAGGCCTGCTACTCACAGGGCTCAGGGAAACGCTGGGGCCCAGGGTCCCCCTGCCCTCTTTGCAGCGTGGCCTTCACTTCTGGAGAGGGGACACTGTGGAAACACAGAAGCACCCGGGGTGGGAGAAGTCTGCTGCTCTCTGGCCATAGCTGCATGGTGACCACGCTGGGCAGGATGCAGGGCAAGTTCCCCCATCTGGTGATCCACGCTGGGCCCCAGGAGGTACGAGTCAGAGCTGCGGGAGCTCCCTGGCCAATCACCAGGGTTAGGCCTCTTCCTAGGAGCTGGGGTTCCTGTACCCAGCTGTGGGGCAGAGGGTGGCCTCCCCTCCGGGCACTTGTACCGAAAGGGCTCGAGGAGGGACTGGCTGCAGGTCCCAGCTCAGGAGTGGAACTGGAAGCTGAGGCCGATCGTGGGAAGAGAACAGAGCCCCTCTTCCCGCTTCCCACCAAGATCCCAGACAGGTGTGGGCGAGAGAGAGGCAGGGACTGCAACACTTCACCACAACTTTTTGCTCCAAAGAAGTGAACATGTCACACGCACATTAAATGGGGTTGGAGACCTGAATTATTCCAGTGGCTGGATTTGTCTGGGTTTACATTCAGGCACAGTCCTTCCCACTCAATGCGCGCGCACGCGCGCGCGCACACACACACACAGACACACAGACACACACACACATACACACACACACACACACACACCCCTGAGTGCCAAGGGGAGGTGCGGGGGTCGGGGCGGTCCTAGAAATTGTTGTCAGGAATGGAAACGCTTTGATATAGAGGGTTTGGTGAGGAGAAACTTGCCCTAACCCGACATGGAGTCACAGATCCGAGGCCTTTCCCTGCCGCAGCCCGAAATAATGTAGTTTGTTGTTTTTTTTTAAGTAGACTTATTTTTTAGAATAAAGTGGGTTTTTACAACCGTCTCCCCGTCTCTACTTGGAAGCCTGCCAGGCTGTGCTCCGGGTCCGGGAGGGAAAGTTCACAGAGGCGGAGCGGGAAGCTCGGCAGTGGCGATGGGAACTCCAGAGCTGCGGGGGCCCTGGAGGTGGGAGCGAGGATGTAGAGCGCGGGCGCCGCAGATTCAGCACCCGGAGGCCAGCGCCCAAGACGGGCTCGGGACGCTCCGGGGCGTGGACTGGAAGCCTGGCCGGCGCGGCGCTGGCCACGCGCGCCCCTGAGCGCGGGCTCGGCCGAGGCACCCTCCCATCCTGCAAGGTCTAAGCATCAGGCGACCGGGTCTCCGGGCGCTTGCGTCGTCCGTGGTCTGTGCATGTACAACACTGGCCCGTGGCCAGACAGGACGGGCTGGAATCTCCTCCCTTCCCCCACCCAGAGCCAAACCCTGTCGGGGCGTCTCTACCTACCACCCCCTTCACACCCCCTCTGGGCCGCTGTGCAGCTGTGGGTTTCTAAAAGTGTGCAAGGGCCGGGCTTTTCAGGGACCCGGTGACGGCGAACCATTCCAAAGCCAGAAGAGGACTGAATTGCCACCATTTTAGATATCCAAGGTTGCCCTCGGGGAAGTGTGAGAACCGCTGTCCATCCTGGAAGTTCTTATCCGAGTCTAGACCCTTCTCTGGGGCAGGACCCATTGGTCACTGGCCACAGTAAGTCCTGCTCACGGGTCCAGAGGAAGGAGCGAACCTAACTGCCTCCTTCAGGTCTCAACTCGTGTGTCCCCCTCACCTGAGAGGGTGACCCTATCTCACAGTGAGGGAACCCCTGCACAATGTCCCCTTTACTGGGAAATCAGATCGTTTGTGTGATTTGATGTTTATGGTCTGTGACCTGCACCTGGCTGAGGACCTGGTACAGCAGGCACCCAAGAGCTGTTTGTTGACTGACTGACTGAGCATCCAGAGAGGAGGGACCATATTTAGATAGCTTCTGTGGTGGGCAGGGCCTGACGGGGTTTAAACCAAACAGCCCGCTCGCTGAGTGTGGGTACAAGTGCAAGCACCCACGAACCCTTGGAGGCAGAGGGGAAAAGGGGACACTTGGCTCCCTTTCCCTCTGACCTAGTGGCTGAACCCCCTCCCCAGTGACCTGGCCAGCTGGATTCCCAGTAGCAGGGAGTGCCCATCTGATTCCCCTATTGACATATGTAGGGCAAGCAGGACCCCAAACCCTGGCTGGAAACTACAGGCCAGGTTTGGAACCTCCCCTGTCTTGCTTCCCTGCAGTCACTGGGATGGGGTGGGGTGGGGATTTCCCAGAATCAGGCCAAACAGACCACCAATGGCTGATAACCTTGGAGGAGCTTAGCATAGTCTCTTCTTACACTCCTGCCCTCATTTTTCTAATAAATAAAGCCCTTTGTGAGGTCCAGATAAGGGCCACAGGTCTAGTGCCTCACTTTTTCAGGAGTATATATGGCTTTATAGTAACAAGATAATTTTTTTGTTACAAACCTTCCCTTACTTAGTCTCTGCATTCAGCCCAAAGTAGATTTTTATGGGCTCAGGGAAAAAGTCTCGCCCATAGAAGTTTCTAATGGAAGAGCTGGCAGCACCATCACCCTGTGAGGTGGCGTGGGGGTAGGGATGCTTAAGGAGAGCCTCCCCACCATCTGCCCCCCCTCGTGCCAGGTCCAAATCCCCACTGGCAAAGCGGAGGCATCAAGAAATAATACGAAAAATTATAATGATGTAAGAGAACAGGCTTTGAATTATACAGAAAAATTGTCCGTGCAGCCAGTGCACTTTTTGCATGTGAGGCCAGAGCTTTCGACAAGGCTTTTGGGAGACCCAGGCAGGGGAGTTTGGTTTGGGGGTCATTCCCAAAGAAGGTGCAGATTTCCCCAGGTCACTCAGCCCTAGGCCCTGTCAGGAGCCAAGGCTGGAGGCGGTGCTGTCAACAGAAAGCCGGGCAAAGGTGGCTTGGCCCAAACCAGGGGACGGGCCCAGGACCAGGGTAAAGGACAGTTACAGGGGCGCCTTTGTCCCTTTTCGGACATCAGAATTCCTGGGCCCTTATTATGTTTTTTCTTCATTCAGGGCCCGGAGGCTTCTGAATTTTGGTTCTTTCCATTTCTGGTTAAATGGAGTCAACGCCACCACCAGTAGGCCGGCCTCTTGGGTGCTGGGGGGGAAGGACCTACCATGAGAGCCAGTAGCCCTATAATATGGTCACTGTGGTCATCCTTGGGAGTGAGAGTGGGGTGGGCAGTGATTTCCTGGGGTTAAAGAGACACCTCCGTTCACGTGCTGGAATCTGGGGGGTGCGGGGCTGCGATCATATTCGGGAGATTGGAATATGTGGAAATTAGCCATTTCCTTATGGGGAGACCAGGATAAACCTCTAATTCTAGAGCCCCCGAGGAGAATTAAAGGCCATCCTTTCCTTGGTTGCGTAATAGAATTGCCGAAAGAAGGGTCTCCAATGTCTCTGCGGGGGCCCTGGGGCTGGAGGTGCATTTTCCGCCTGCTAGGATCGAGGGTTCCAGAAGCCGCGATGCCCCGGGCGCCCCAAGGACAGTGGGGAGACCCAGGGTGCCTGCGCGACCCTCTCCGGAAACCCACTCGCTGCCGCCTGCTTGGAGGGGCTTTTCGGTCTTGGGAATGGGCCTCGGATTCGCTCTGGACCCTGGTCGCACACTCCCGGAGCAGCGGGCAGGGGGCCGGTCAGACCTGCAATTCTGGCGGGAGGGGAGACGGACGCGCCCTCGCGACCCACAGCTCACCCGCAGGGTCGCAGCCCTGGTGGGAGGCGCGCGAGGGGCCTAGAGCCTGGGGGGCGTTCTTCGCGGGGGATGGGGGTGGGCGTTGCTAGCACAGCGGTCCCTGGTCTTTGCGGCCTCGCGCCTGGGCCGCGGCGCTCGCTGGAGGGTTTCGGGCCAGGCCGCCAGCAGGACGCCTGGGAGCGGCTGGGGTTCTCCCAGCTGGCGTTTAGCGCCGCAATCTCACCCGGCTTTCCTGCTTCCTCCAGGGCGTGCAGGCGAAGGCTGGGATCTCCGGGGACACGGCCGCTGAGCCGAGGGTGCAGGAGAGAGATGTTCTCTCGAGCTGGGCTGCCTTGGCCCTGGTGCGCCTTCTGCAACACTGGTGGCCTTCGGGGAGGTGGTGGGGAGCAACGGAGGCCTTGAAGGGACAGTAAAGAAGCGGAGGGGCTGCGAGACCCCAATTATGTGCCAACAAACACCTCCCAGTTACCGTCTAGTATACATACGGTCTCCCCGCCTTCGGCCCGTACCCCGCCCGCCGCTGGCGGCTTAGGAGTTCGCCTTCTGGAAGCCCCCTGGTAACCCCTTCCCAGGCTGTAGCTCTTGGATTGGAAGAGGGTGGGCGCTCCTGGGGCCCCTGTGAGGGCTGGAGAGTCCGGGGCGGGGGAGGGGAGAGATTACAGGGGATTGAAAAAGTTTTGGTTTTTTGGTTTGTTTGTTTTGTCGTTTTAATGCCGGGAAAGCTGCCTCCAGGACGGCGAGGGCTTTACGTTCGGGCCTCCGTCTTTGGGAAAGTGCATGGCTGCCGGCGGCGCAGGGAAGGGAGAGAGGAATGACCCTTGGGGGAATATTTACTGGTCAAATCGATATCCCCGTTTGGCTATGAGGATGGCCGATTTCAAAGCAGATTAGATTACTTTGTGGCATTTCAAATAAAACGGCAATTTCGGAGCCGTGAGCACGCGGGCGACCCACGGGAGCTGTGGGCCTGGCCGGCTTGGACCCAAGGCCTCGGCGGAAATTTCTCCTCTGGCCTTTTCCTTTTTAATCGAAGGCAAAGGGGCGACGGCCGGCGGGGCACCGGGTGCCGAGGCCTCTGGCTGGGCGCTGCTGTTTACCGGTTTGCTTTATTCCCCGTCCAGGTTTAGGAGACGCGTGGGGACAGCCGAGCCGCGCAGGGCCCCTGGACAGCGTCGCCAAGGAGCTGGGATCGCACCTGCTGCAGGTAGTAGGACCGCCGCGGGGTGAAAAGCGCCGCCGCCACCAACGGCCCTGGCCCGCCCGGGTAGGGGGTCGACGGTGGACGACCCCATCGTCCCAGTCCCCAGGGTTCCCTCCTCAAGGAGCCCCGGGCGGATCCACAGGCTGCCCCCAGGCTGCAGAGGTCTCCCGAGGCAGCGATCGGACTTCGGGCCAATTCCCCCCAATTCCCCTCGGAGGGCCGGGACTGCGTGTGGATTCCGCTTAACCGGGGCAGCCTCAGGCCAGCCCCCCATCAACCCCACACCTGGCACCCTCTCCCCCGCCCCAGCCCCAGGACTCTCTAGCCCACGAGACCTAGGCCAAAGCGCGCCCCTGGGTGTGGTTAAGTCCTCTCCAACCTTACTTCCTTCGGCAAACTTTCATGGAGCTCTTGCTATGTGCCAGACGCTGTGCCAGGCACCGGAGCCAGAGAAGGAGTGATGCGGCTGCTCTGAGCCAGAGGGAGGCAGCCTAAAGCGTCTGACAATTGTGTGTGTCTGGAGAGGTTGCAATAGAGGAGAGACAGCATCAATAATTGAGTATTAGCAGTTGACATTTACTGAGAGTTTGCTACCGGCCAGAAGCTGTTCTAAATCTTACTATATCATCTCTCTTCACCAGCCACCTAGAGTGTGTTCTATTTTTAACTGCATTTTTTTCAGAGCAAGAAGTTGAGGCACAGAAAGGTTAAGCAACATGCCTGAGGTTCCACAGCAAGTGGTGGAGCCTTGTTCAACTCAAGTGGTCCAGCTCTTGAGTGGTCCGGCTCACAACATGGTGCGACCTCCGGGGCCACCTGGCTCACGGAGGAAGTCCTTGCTTGGTTTGTGTCAGCCGCTTAGCGTCCCAGCCCGGAGCCATTCAGTCCGCGGTTACTAAACCGCCCCGACCTCGGATTTCCTTCGCGGTGTCTGGGGCTCGGGTGGGGTAACCGTGCGCACGACCGGCCACTTCCAAGTCCACGGCTGGCGCTAGGTGGGCGCAGAAACGCCTCGTGGCTCGGACTCTTTCAAATGCCCTTTACAGAGCCTCATCAACGACCCGATTCATTCCCCCTCCCGTCATTTGTCTCTGCCACCGAAAAATGCCTACCGAGAGCTATTTTGCATTTCCTCCTTCTATTTTGTGTTTTCTTTATAAGGGGGGAAAAAAAAGTTGGCTACGGAACTCAGTGTCTTGGGTCAGCGAGTCAGCTCCGCGCTTCGCAAAAGCAGATCTTTTCAAAACTCTTTTGCCCCAAATGCCCTAGCGTGATTTATTTTTTTAAATGCATGCGCTGGGAAAGAGAAGATCCCGGGATGTATTTGAAACCCGAGGCTTTTACAACATAAAGCTAGTGGTGTGGGAGCCGGCCGGGAAATGGTGCTCTTGGAGCCCTTCCCGCACGCCCTTTGCTCTGCCCGCAAGCTCGGGTCCAGCTCCGTGTGCGGTATTTTAAGTGTTTGATGTTCCTACGTATTATAAGTGACACTAATATCAGAGACAACTAAGTGCCAGGGAGCGCCAGTGAAAACCTGGCGGCAAAGTCAACGCCCCCAAGTTTCTCCACTGTACATTTATTTAATTCCGGAATGTGTCTGTGGATGGGCGGCTTTGCAGTTAATATACTCGCAAGCGCATTAGGTCGTTTGCAGCTATGAAAGCATAACCAACATTTTCCATTAAGAGTATTATTTTTAAGCCACCGCTGGCAACCTTCAGAATTTAATTTTGATAACTTTTTCTCTTTTACTCATATGGCTGGCTGTCCGATACTATTTCATTAAATGTATCTCTTTAATGATTTTGGAGTTAAGCAAGAATGCAAAATGTGCCAAAACGTGGATAACTTCAGAAATTGCTGAATAGTTTATATCTTTGAAAAGGAGTTTAGTTGGGGAAATATTTTGTAGCTGAGTTAGAAACATGAAAGTCGGGCTTATAATCAAGTTGTTGATTTCAACCTCAGCACAGGGAAAGCTAATGATAGCTTAGTTGGCAAAGAAATTTTTGCAGCAAAACTGTATTTGAGACAGCAGAATGTAAGGATATCTTTCAGGTTTCATTTCTACATTCTTTTTAGGCCCCCCTCCAAAGAGGGGGCGGATTTAGAAAAACCAAAGGTAATCTGGTTTCAATTACATCCTGTAAAAATAGAATTTGTGGCCAGAAATTAATTTGGAATATTTTTTATGGGGGCAATGTTGTGGGTTGTATGGGTCTTTCACCAACTTTATTGCTTTCCTTTGGTTCTGGATCTAAAATATGAATGAGTAAATAAAATGCAGTTTCCTTTTTTCAAAAATAATTTAGTCTTTTTATCCTTGCCGCACATAAATATGATCATTACCCTTTATTTGACTTAATTACCTCTTATAATTTTACTTTATTTTTTTGAGGGCTAGCCAAGTTAGGCAAAATCAGAATATCATTTAGGTAGCTTTAATTTTTCAGAAATTGATACTTTTTCTCCTTGAATTTTGCAAAGGTTGTTTGATCTCTTGCAGATTCTAAATAATTAATTTTGTAGACATAGTCTGTTAAAAATAACCAGGTATTTTATTTTCTGGGGAGTGGTAGTGTTCGGAATTTATTATTCAAATGGTACTTAGGGATGACCAGAAAATTGTGGCAAATAAAGCATATGTTCTAGTGGTATAAACGGCTGCCAATTATGACATGAAATGGTCTATACAGTGGTAGATTTTCCCCTAAGTACCATAGAACTCCGGATTTGTGCTAAGTGCTAAAATAACCCCAACAATAAAGCTACTACGTTTAAACTGAGCATGATAGGAATTCTCAAATGTTTTGCATGATTTTTGTGATGTAGATGTAAGACTGTTTTTAAAGTCCTTTAAAAGCATTTGAGAGCCTGGCTGGGGAACTAAACCTATAGTCCTCTTGGCCCTGGGGCGCCGTTCCTGCATTTAACAATACACGTTGATTGAATACTTTATACATTTCTCCATCCCAGTGCCAGTACAATGATCAGATTTAACTCTAATGTCTATTATCTCTAACCCTGATGCTTTTTATTTTACAGACTTTGGATGGATTTGTTTTTGTGGTAGCATCTGACGGCAAAATCATGTATATTTCGGAAACAGCTTCTGTACATTTAGGCTTGTCCCAGGTGGGTATTGACTAATTTTATGTACAACCAAAATAATAAGTTAAGCGTTGGCAGATCTTGACAGCCTTACCCAACTTGGAAATGAGTCTGTCCTAGCGTCTACTTTTGTGCCTGAACGTAATCCAAAATTACAAAATCGTCTTTTTCGGCCGGCCCGCGGGGCTTTTCTTCTCCGTGTTATGTTTCACTTTTCTACTTTCTTTTTCCTTTGGGGCTCATGCCTCGTAACGTCTTTGCAACAGTCAGCCTTGTCCAATAGCCTGGACTCCGCTTATACAGTGGAGTTCTCTGCCGCTAACAAGAGCTTCACAAAGGGAAATTTTTCAGTCCACGCTTGATGGTCTGCACGTGGTATTGTGAGTTGCTATGAAAGAGAGGCAAGCTGATGTAGAACATGGATTTTATGCAGAATGTGCTTTGGGGAGAGAGAAAAGGGGCGGTAGATTTATGAGTGTTCACATGGAATTCAGGGTAATTTTTCCTGAGTTTTTCCAGTTCAGTGGTCGTTTCAGTAAAGCATTTTATATGCTTGTGATAGAAACTCATAAAACTCAGTTTACTACTGTTTTGCACAGCAAGGTCCTGGTTTCTTTAGAACATTTAAATATTACCTATTTTTCTGAAACTGTCTTCTTAAAGGGGTTCATTCCCTAGAGGAGAGAGGTGCACTGTTTTCCCTATCCTGTCAAGCCAAGGGTTTGGTAGGGGATTTGGCTACTTGTCTGGGCTGTGGCCAGTCTGGATGGTGGGAGAGTCTACTGATTGTTGCCATTCACATTTCTGATTTCACAAGCATGGATCATGATTCTAAGAGTCACAGTTTTATACATACAGGGGCTAAATGTTTCTTTACATTGTGAATTATCAGAGTGCTTTCTTTCATTACAACTGAAGACACACTAGAATTAATTAGATCCAGGAAATGGGCTCCCAGGAGGCACATGAATAATCTGTACTGCACCAGCCTCCTCCTGTAGTTAAGCCAAAATAAAACATGCCAATTAAAGTGGCTTGGGCTTTCTCCTTGAAAAACAAAATTACCAATTTGGAAACCTGCATCTGGTGTATTCCTCTTCTTTTTCTGCCAAGGTGTTTTCTAAACTTTCCATTTGTTTACAGCCTTCTTTTCCAATGGATGTATATCCTTATCCATGTCCAAGTGGGTTTCTGCGCCTGTGTGTTTTCTTCTGCAAAGTCTTCTAAAGCAAATCACATATTAAAATTGTTTGGCGTTTTCTGTTCTCTTCCTCTTCTCTTCTTTTATGATACCGGGTCTCCCAGATGAGATTTATTAAGGCTTGTCTCTTTCACCTATGTGACTCATGGGATTAGTGTACTTGTAGAATGGGAAATACTATTGGAAATATGAAATTTTCTCTTTTTATATTTTCCAAAATTATTATTCTCTGAATTTCCACCTCATTATTCTCTGAATATTTAAGACCCTTTAGTTAGACCCAGCCTGGTTTCTACTCCTGACTTGATTTGTGGCTGAGTGCCCTTGATCAGATTCCTTAACTTTTTAAATTGTAACTTATAAAACCTTTGATAAGTCTTATCGAAATGTCACAAACAAGACAAAACATTTCACATACTTTAAAAATGGCTGGTCAAAAAAGAAAATGACTGGTCAAACATACTTTAAAATTGATAGAGTCACCTTTACTGAACATTAAATTTAGATCTGAGCTCCCTAGTAGTCAAAGCAAAAAGGGAAATGCATTTTGTTGTATGGTTTTCATTGTCTGATATGGGCAGGCAATTGACCTCTCTGCACCATAACTTAAATAAGAAAATAATGCCCGCTCTACTACTCTTTTAGGATCATGGTGAGAAACATACCAAGGGCCCATGTGATTTATAAACTATAGGGAGCTCCACAAAACCAGGCATTGTAAGTTTCATTAGAATTGTATTTCAAATAACACAGAAGTCTCTTCAAATAGCATCCTTTGGTGGGCACATATTAGGGATAATTAGTCATGGGGAATGTTCTGGCACATCATAAGGCACTGTGCACATATCAGGACCTTCCAGTTCATTCTGTCAGGCTGCTCAGTCTGGCATTCTACATCTCTCTTTCGCTCTCTGTCATTTTTCTCTTTTCACCTGGGAAATAAAAATGATTGTTTTTGAACACAATAGTTAAGAATGACCAAAACATTGGATAGGTAACAAATATATCTCCTGTTCATGATAAACACCACGAAAGGAAATTTTTTTTCCTTTGGATTTTTGAATTTTATTTAATTTATTTTTTTATACAGCAGGTTCTTATTAGTTACCTACTTTATACATATTAGTGTATGCATGTCAATCCCAATCTCCCAATTCATCCCACCACCCCGCCACAGCTTTCCCCGCTTGGTGTCCATACGTTTGTTCTCTACATCTGTGTCTCACTTTCTGCCCTGCAAACCGGTTCATCTGTACCATTTTTCTAGGTTCCACATATATGCATTAATGTACGATATTTGTTTCTCTTTTTCTGACTTACTTCACTCTGTGTGACAGTCTCTAGATCCATCCACGTCTCTACAAATGACCAAGAAAGGAAATTTAAGCAGAATTGGAATTTAAATTATATTTCCTTTTGGTCCTAATGCAGACGTAAAACTCTGTATATCATAATTTTGAATTTTCCAAAAAAATTGTAAAGATGCCTTTTGTCTGTATGTTGCCAGGAGAAGTGTCAATTTAAAATAAGTCAAACTGCCTGTCCGTGTAGGACGGCTAATTTTTTCCTGATCTCCTGGCGGGACTATCTCACTATCAGTCTCCAGCTACAAAAACACTTTCACGCTGATGTCTGGGGAGTGTTTCATGGTGAACTGTTTAAATAAGCAACAACAAACTTTTCCCTCAAATCTGCCTCCTCTTCCCAATTAACTAGGCAGAATCACAATGTGTATTTTTTTCTGTCTTCTTAAATAGTAAAATAAGGTATTGAAAAGAATGTCAAATACCCAACTTCTGTTTAAAAAAATTTTTTGGCACCTTTTAGATTATTTTTACTAGTAGTAGTATAAGTCAGACACACATATCAAACATGAAAACTTTAATTAAAATAGGCTTCAAGATTTTTTTTAATCACTAGAGATAAAAGTGTTAATAAAATTTTACCCACTAGTCAGAGTAACCTTTTAAACAGGTTTTCTGATGAATAAGGGCAGTAATAGCTTATATTTACGTAACGCCCTTCTGTGTTCCAAGAACTTTCAATTATTCTCTATAACAATATCTCTAAGTAACGACATCTTTCACATTAATTCGGGGTTAAACTCTATGTTAGCAGCTCCTAGGGAACATAAGCTCCTAGGTTTGCCATAATTGTGTGATAATTCATAGCAAACTGGTGGTTTTTTTTTTTTAATCTGCACTCTCTAAATAACTTTCTGAACTATTTGAGAATATAAAAATGATTCTTTATGTGTTATAAGCCCATCCCAATTCAGGGCCTTTTATTGAACTTTTTTAAACGCATGTATTGGAATAAGAAGTCTTCATATGGCAGAGTTTATTAATTTATTTTTGCTTTTAAATTAGTAAATGCAGCAATCCTGGCTGTCAGACTTTGGTACCAAAAAATGACAGGGAGAACCACAAAATGCTAATTGTCCCCTCAGCCCATAGTGCCAGTTGGGGAAAG